AGGAAGAATATAATACTTTTAAGGCATAAATTTCAGACGCTAAGTATGGGGGAAAATAAACTAATGAATATTGGGAAAAAAAAGTTGGCAGCAAACAAAAGCGGAGCACAAGTTACAGAGACATTTTCCAGCGGGCTCTTTCCCTTTGAGCAGCATCGAAAACCCAAAAAAACAAAAGTAAAACAACAACAAAAGAAAAGCAAACAATCAAATCAAATTTGCCTCCATTTCCCTCTCTCACTCACAGCCACCTCACAAACAAAACAAGCAGTGCCAATCCAGAGAAGAAACAAGAGAAAACAGAGAGATGAACAAATTCAGTAACACAGTGATCGGGCTACTCAACTTGTTAACTCTAATAGCCTCCATTCCCATAATTGGGGGAGCGCTGTGGATGGCGAGGAACAGCACGACGTGCGAGGGGTTCCTGCAGACGCCGCTGCTCGTGCTCGGGTTCGTCGTGCTGCTGATATCGCTGACGGGGTTCGTGGGGGCCTGTTTCAACGTCGCCTGGGCGCTGTGGCTCTATTTGTTTGTCATGTTGCTGCTCATTGCCACGCTGTTGGGGCTCACGCTTTTCGGCCTCGTCGTGGCGAGTAAGGGCGGGGGCAGCGGCGGAGAACATGGGCTGGGGGATTATTCAGAGTGGCTCAGGCATAGAGTTGATGATCCTCGGAATTGGATGGCTATTAGGAGCTGCATTTTGGGGTCTAATACTTGTAACAAGCTTTCCTCTTGGACTCCTCTTAATTATTTGCAGAGAGATATCACTCCCATTCAGGTAGTCTCTAACATTTTCTGTTCTAAAATTTACTTAACAAGGCAAGCATTAAAAATTTTCATAACAAAAGTGAGCTGCTAAGAGGAAATAATAAAGCTCGAGTAAAATTTGGGTGCAGTCGGGTTGCTGCAGGCCACCAGCTTCATGCAGCGAGAACGCGCAAGACCCCGATTGCTACCGGTGGAACGGTGCGCCCAACGTGCTGTGCTACGAGTGTGATTCATGCAAGGCTGGAGTGCTTGAGACTGCCAGAGGGGACTGGCGTAAGCTCTCTGTTCTCAATGTTGTGATGCTCATTTTCCTCATTGGCGTTTATTCCATCGGTTGCTGCGCATTCCGAAACACCAAACGAGCCGGAGCAGATTACTCATATGGCGAGAATCGAATGACCAAAATCCAACCCAGATGGGACTACAAGATGTAAGTAATCTATTGCTTTGTCTAAACATCTTACATATATTGAAGTGATATGAAATGTACCAATAAATAACTTACAGATTATTAGTTAGGATTGATTATCAGTGTCTTAACAAATTAAGCTACGTTTAAGTTGGAGACTTGTTTTAGTTCAAATTCAACGGCTAAAGTTTGACGATACAACTTTTGTTCTGGCAGGTGGAGATGGTTGGAGGATAGGAAAGAGCAGCTTTACTAACTGTGTACATGCCTGTGTTCTTTGGTATCCTAAAGTTGGGAAAATGAAGTTCAGTTTTTCGATTCCAGTGAAACAGGGAATGGGTATTTCCAGGGCTTTCTTTTCATGCAGTGATCTTATGCTACTTTAAGTACATGATGAAGTTTACTTTTTTATCCTATTGTCACACCACTACTTTATTTTTTGCCTTACTGACTTTGAAAATTATCCAACATTCAATACCAACAGGTGTAAAGTTGCTAATCTACTTTGTTAGATCATTATGGTGCAAGAAAACCGTCTAAAACACACATTGATTACCTTAAATTTTGCAAATTACTTTATCTGGTAAGAGTCAAAGTTTCAGATTCCCAATAAAGAATTCAAGTTAAAATTAACCCCTGGGTCAAAAAAAAAAGTGTTTCAGACACATATTTAGCAGAGCAAAGAGTTTCGAGGCAGTGGGAGAAACTTATGTAGAAATTCTACTCTATATATTTGGTGCTGTATACAGATAAATCCCAAATGCTGCAAAGCACAAAAGAAGCAACATTTTTGTAACCCAAGGAGTAGGGACCACACTAGGAATGTGCAAAACAAAATTGCATCTCAGAATAAAGAAAAGAGGGCCTCTTGATATACTGCACAATCCCCAAATTAATCGACAAACGTAGACTCTATCAGATGACCACAATATAATCAATCAGACGTTATCGGTCGCATCTCTTCCCGACTCTTGAGCACTTCTGGCTGCAGCCAATCTCTCTGCTGCCAGTCTTTCTTCCAAAGCTCTAGCTCCCCTTTCTCTGCAATGAGTAGAATATTCAAATTCCATGAGTATTCTCCTCTCCACTAAGTTTTTGTTATATTTATTACACAGATTTCCTTCAAGTTTATATTCATTGCTATAGTTCGTGGCCAACAAGTAGCAAGTAGTGACTAGTTTCACTTCCAATGAACAGAGCAATTGTAGAATTTTTTTCTGTTTCTATTTTGTACCTTTCAATCTAAACACCCTTGAAAAGTTATGATTAGTGCACAAACAAATGTAATAACCGTTTGTTCAACAATCTTCTTCTTGGGGCACTTAATACTAAGCCCTTTTAAAATTATCCTAGCCTTGTGATTTCGTCTAGCTTCCCTGTGGGTTGACACCCTGTCACCCCCCTTTCTACGGTTTTTCCTTTTAGAAGAAGTTTGCCAACAATGTTCGTCAAGGTGGGTGGTTAATAGGGCAACATCTTGTGCAGACATAGAGCATAGATGATGAAAAGAAGCATATTTAAAGTGGGGAGAGAGGCAATCAATACTTGAAATTGAAAATTATACACAAAAATATTTAATTTGAAAACATTCCCCTAATTTGCACCAACTTTTTGTTAAAAGGAAATTTCGAAATGATGTGTTTAAATTTTAAATTTAGAATTCTTGCCATCTTGCTCGCCATTTAAAACAAAAATAGCTACTTATATCAGTTCCTTCCGTTTTCCCCTCTTTGTCTCTCCATTTACAGCATTATACTTTCACGTTCTTGATATTGCCTCTATTTCCAGATAGAATTAGAAACCTTAAGAGCTTCCATAAGAAAAAAATAATTAGAAAAAGGTGCACAGTAACCTTCTTAACCTTGTGCCACTAACTACAATAGAGAACTACTCAGATTCAGTTCCGCTGTTCTCTCCTTCCTCTATTTACACTACTTCTATTTTCACCACCTTAATATTGCTTCTCTATTTCCAGATAGGATTAGAAATCTAAAGAGCTTACACAGGAACCTTTTTGTGCCACATTCTACAAATTAGAGAAGGTGCTAAAAGTGGATAACATTTGTAGTATTTCAAGATGGAGTATGATCAAGTTTACAAGCCAGAAGAGAAGCATAAAAAAATTACCTCCTCCGAGATGCCTCAATGGGGTCTGAACCAGGCAACGGGGCGCCTCCAACAGTATAATCGTCAGCATTGTTAGAAGATTCAGATCTTCCACAAAGCAGACGATGAAATATTGATGCAACTGGATCAATGACTGGCCTGCACAGAACCATCAAGAGTCACAATACACTATGATTATGGAGTATGGAGAGGGAGAACGCAGAATATTCCTGAAAATATGGGAAAGAGAAGCTTGAAAGGTAGAAAAAGCTTAATGATAAAACAATATACCGTAAAAGTTCTGGGAAGAATGTAGAGAATGCAAAATCATCACTTGGATCGCCTTTCAGTTTAGCTTCAGGTTTCCTCTGCCAGTATCTCAGATAAATCCAGCTTATGTATGTTCCAAATATTATTGTTGGGAGATATGTTGCTGCCCCTACTGTCCAAAAGCTTACGGCAATGGATACTAATAAAGCAAGAGATGGCAACCACTGCATAAAATTGCAGACAAAGCCCAGAAGGAGGGTCAAGTAAAATTCTGAAAAAATATTATTCCGAAATTTGAATGTGCCTATTATCAACATTTTTCATACCTTAGCTCTTAGTTTCAATAATGGTAACTCTTGATCAGGTATGATTTGTTTGATCCCAACCAAGAACCCAGCTAGAATCCCATAGAAACCAGATATGGGCATATAGCTAAGACCACAAAACGATGTAAAATAAGATGACTGGGTAAACTAAGAGGCAAAACAGAAATGAAACACGTTTAAAGAGGAGTTGATAAAATGAGACTGTAAATACTTAGATGGGAATGAATCAGACAAAATTTACTCAAATGAAATTTCGAATGGATTAAACAGTCTTAGTGACAAAATCCACAGAGAGCTCTATCAGTTAAAGACATGTACACAAGTATGCCTAAAAATTGTCCTGATGCACGAGGACTCAGTAGCACTTACAGATAACTTTCCTCCTGCGTGATATAGTACAGGGCAATCGCTGTGATAAAGACACATAAAGAAGTTAGAAAATTGACTACAAAGATGAATTTCAAAAATTCCCTAGAGCCCCATATGGGTTCAAGCAGCTTCCCAACAAAAAGGAGACCAATTGTGCTGGCAACCACCTGCAATATATGGCTCTTGATGAGTCTAACTTCCAGTGGAGACTGACTAAATAATAATGAGAAAAGTTCAAAATTATTGTCCTGTAGCTGGGAAATAGTAGTGTATGACAATGCAAGTGCATACCCCATATACTGACTGTTCAACATAACCAGCAGTTAAGAGGTTCCAGGCAAAAGGAATTGTCCTACAAAATAGAAGTTCAAAGGAATGAATGACCCAGCTATATGTAGTTATAGTTTATGCACTTGCCATTTAAATTTAACAACTCGAAAGTATGTCACATACTAAGGCCATCTCTGTACTTAATCAATTCCTATACTAAAGGGGGAATACTCCCACATCAAAGAAATAAAATTAATAAATAGATGAAAAGGGGCATGAATTTCTGCGTTGCGATGAATAGTTTTATAGTTATAGTTATAGAGCCAGAGATTCAATATGACCTTGATAACTCTATATATGTGAAAATGAGCAGTGAAAAATGTTGGTAGATAACTGAAAGATAATGATAATTTTGGTATTTTGATGAACAGAATATCTAATAGAATGGCAATGGGAAAGAAAAAGAAATGTATCATGCCAAAATTCAAACTCCTTATGAGGAAAATTACTCACGTGGCATGCATTCATGTTTACTGCATCGCAACTGGATAAGCAAGTATCTTCTACTAATCTATTAATCTATCAAGTGTGAATGATATGTCCACTTTAGACAAAAACTCATGAGTCCCTAACTTACAGTTGATCGAGGTTCCATTACCTATGTTATCACATCCGTCATCATGTTTTGCATAAATTAATGGGTCTTCGGTAAGTGATATTTTCTCCATTTCGATTGCTATAATTATGGGTATTAAGATACTTTTAAACTTAACGTCTGTTAGGTCTCCCTAGAAAGTGTGGATTCTCTATCTAATTAGAATATGTTTAGAAGATGGCTAGTAAAAAATTGAGGCCATACTGGATATATCAGTTTCAACTCATCGTTGGGTAGTTAGGTTGGAAAAGAAGGTCTTATTTATTTTTTACTTCTTGCTGGTCCAAGAGTGCAAACATTTAGATTTTGGGATAATTTTTGCATATTTGTACCTTAGATGGCTTGATTTTTTTCCATAATTTCCTTCTCTAGCAGATTTTCTGTTTTTCTACTCTTGTAATAAAATTTTGTTTTCTATCAGGAAAAAGAACTGTAGTTAAATATCTAAAGCCAATTAAGAATAATAAGGGATTCACATTTTACACCCATGAGAGGATGCTTCCTCTATTTATTTAGCAGAATTAATAATTCGGATTGATTTGCAGTTAAATCATCTGGTTACATGCTGGATTCTTCACCATTAAAAAAATGAGAGAGTTTCTGTATATCAAAACAGTACACCCTTGCCCCTTGAACGCAACCATTGGTATCCTAAAGCAGTGGATTGTGTAGCATGAAATAAGATTTTAAAGCTTGCTCGGAAGATCTGTTGCTACTTGCTATCAAATAAATATTTTATTGTGAAGAAGGGCAGAACACTACCCGGATGATATAGCCAATAAATTAAATATAGGGATCAACAGAGTCATTGCAATTTTCAATTACTACTGAATTTCTAAGCATGGCAACTAAACTACCGACTGGCTTTCATCAATCCCACAACTAAGCTACATTCAAAACTTGTAACAAATACCTTCCCACCTCAAATCCTAGCAGACACAAGAATTCAAGTAATTTCTATCAGTGATCACAAGTTTCTCGATTCTTTCCTAACTAACTCTCAACTAGACAAGACATCTATATTTCTAACCAGCAACCCACAGGCATTACTTCAACAACGTACGTTTCGTACCGATTCCACCATGAAACTACATCAGCTTTATATAGTTTCTACTACCGTTAATTCATAAACCAAAATCGCTAAAGCTTGAAAAACATAGGTACCAAAACTACCTGGTTGGAATGAGAGCGAGGTAGTTAACAACTGCAGGAAAAAACTGAACCAAGATATGCCCGCCAACCAGCACAACGGCTAAGCCCTTGCATAGCTTGGTGAATCCAGTAAACAACCCAGACCCCTGCCACACAAGAAATAAAAAAACACCAATCTAAATGTCACCGAATTGTGAGAAAATGCCAAGATCTGGCATACACATTCGAAGATAGAAAAGACGAACTACGAGATCTGAATGCGACTTGTGGACAACCAATTTGAAGAGATCAAAAGAAATAATAGAAACGGAGCTCACCCCCGGAACTGCTGGAGTACTCATGGGCGGAGACGGTGGATGGTGGCCGTCAATTTGGACAGAGCACGGCGGTGATCGGAATTCTGTGCTAAATATGGACTATTTTGCGTTGCCGGAGACTTTGGGGTTAAAGGGGGGAAGCTGGGAAGATCGTAACGTAAAAAGTGGGTTATTGGGTGCGGTGAGGCGTAGCGTACTATGCTGCAGACCATGTGGAGACGGCAGATCATGTTTACTTCTGAGTTTGCTTTGACCATGATTTGGTTGCGGGAAGCACACGTCATCAAGTTCCTCTTCCCATGCTTGTTTCTTAAGAAATTGTATATTTGCAAATTACACCTTCATCTCTTTGTATTTTAAAAATAGGGTTAAAAGTTAAAACATGGTTTTTTTAAGTAAAATAAACATACCAGAATTCAACCTCTTTAGGGGAACATTAACACTGACCTATACTCGTTTTGACGAACTATACCCACGTTGACAATTAAAATACAAGTTTTTATCTCTATGATTGGGTTCTCATGAGTTAAAACATCTCAATTTTTATATCTTCTTTATAATAATTTTATCTTAATTTTGACATAAGTTTCAACTGTACTTAGATCAATAAATTAATTTTGTTCCAGTGTTTTTTTTCTTTTTTAAAATTTGACACATTTATATTTATATAAAAAAAATCCTTTTATAAATTTTGTAAATAAATAAAAATAATTATTTTTATTTGTTTTTAAGGACAATGATAGTAGTAAATCTTTTTAAAATGATATGGGTATAATTGAAACTAGTCTTAATATTTTAAAAATGTAGCCTAACAAATATGATCGGAGTCATTTATATTACAAATCTTACTATAATTGAGTCCATTTGAACATGACTAGGTGGATAAATCACCTAATACCATCTCAAAATAGTTGAACTAAAAAAAAGTCTTATTATAATATTTTTTTAGTACAACATGTGAGATGAATATTTCAATTTATGACCGTTTGAATTGATTATGGATAATCAATCTATCTTTTAATTTTTTGTTCATAAAATTCTTTGATTCATTGTTACGTTTCTAAAAGTTTATTATAAATAGTATTGAAAATGTTTATTATAAAACAAAAACATCAAACACTACAAATGTCAAAAGTACCATAACCACATAAGTTACAAACCTTTTTTTTTTTCATTTTTTGCATGTATACTCTATATTCATGACATAATTAGTGTACGTGACATGCCTAGAATATGGCACATATTCTAATTATTTATTTATTTTTTAATGCACAATTTTTTAGAGTGAGTGGATAACTACTTCAAATCCTTGTAAAAAATAAAAAAAATAAAATAATAGAGATACTTCAATGATTGAGTTACGCATGTATCTTAATTCTGTCTAAAAGAGAAACACGTGTCTTTACCAGATATAAATCAAAATTAAAATTTGATACGAAATATTTTAGCATAGGTAACATATTGAGTAGATAATTAAAATGACATATTTTATCTATCCACTTGATACGACAAACTCGTCATCAAACCAATTTTTTAGACGACAACATCTCAAATCACAATTCTTAATAATAACACACATTATAGGTTGGTCAACTTAATTTAGATAAACTATTATGTTAGACTTTGCTTAGTCATGTTTAGCTCAAAAAATCTTTTAGCTTGCAAGCATTGACACACCCATTTCTCATCGGTGCTCATTTGACTCAAATTTATCACATAACCTGACCTAAAAAGAATCACGACATCTCTTAATGCTCAATATTAGTTATCATCACCAATTTAAGTATTGATCAATTTATATGCTGTCGGTTAAAATGGTTTGAAAATTCAGATCTCCACTCTAAATATATTGTTGAGCTAACAGGAAAAAAAAAACAAATTTGTGATCATTTGAGGCAACACGTTGTTAATTAAAATCTCGATAATTTATATTCCATTGTTCAGTAGATAATTGTCATTTTTGGATTACTTCCAAAAACGTATCGGTTAGATATTCTATAAATGATTAAATACATCATAATCAATCAGCTTAAGTATTTAAATTTATTAGTGATTTAATCATAACATAGTTTTAGTTTTTTTTAAACAACATAAATATTAGTGTTTTTTTTTATTATTATTATTTTTTTTTTTTGTGATGGTGAGACATTACCCAATTGTTCTTTTAAAATAGATTTAGGATATTTTATTTCTTCTCCTGTTATATCCAATATCAGATTTATCACTGCTATTTCCGAATGAAGCAATCTCCACCACGCAATCCTACGATCCAGATTCCCAACCCAACTGGATATGCCACGTCACCAAATAAATGGATTGACAAAGTTCGACGTGGCCCAATGAGAGCGAAAAACCAACCCACAGTTAGCCAATGAAACCCAAGCTTTAGATTCCCCAATCTCTCTATTGCAGCTGCTTTTAGTCCCCCTTCTCCCCCTTCTTCTTCCTCCATTCCCACTCCCTCAATCTCTCTCCTTCTTCTCAATCTCTCCCACCGCTTTTCAATGGCTTCCAACACCTTGATGAGCTGCGGCATTGCCACCACCGCCTTCCCCTCCGTCCTCTCCTCCTCCAAGTCTAAGTTCGCCGCCGCAGTCCCAATTTCCGGCGTTGGCGCCAATGCCTCCTCGCGCTTCTCCATGTCCGCCGAATGGATGCCCGGCCAGCCCCGCCCGCCGTACCTCGACGGCTCAGCCCCCGGGTATTGGAAATTCTTTCTGTTTCGTGAAATCTGGTGATTTTTGTTGATGTTGGATGATTGCTGTATAGGTGTTTGATGAAATGTCCCTGCGAATCCAGACAGTGTTTTGGGTTCTGTGATTTATAGATTACTATGTTAAGACTGTTATAGAACTTAATAAAAGATTAAATTTATCGTAACCTAACAGTTTAGACAGACTCTTGGATTAAGTGCTGATCTTTTGCTAAGTTTCAAACAGAGGGGAGTGTTAAATTTACTATGACCCATCAGCTTAAATTAGATGTTTGAGATGTGTGGTTATGTTTAACAGTGATTTTGGCTTTGACCCTCTTCGGTTGGGAGAAGTGCCAGAGAATCTCGAGAGGTTCAAGGAGTCTGAGCTGATTCACTGCAGATGGGCCATGCTTGCTGTTGTAAGTTTCCCGAATTCAGTTGCTTCGGAGATGATGGGGATTCTCCTTTTTCTCCACAAGTGATGAATTTTTATGATCTTTGTTCTGTTTTTCCAGCCAGGGATTTTGGTACCAGAGGCGTTGGGTTTGGGCAACTGGGTGAAAGCTCAGGAATGGGCAGCAGTTCCAGGAGGCCAAGCTACCTACTTGGGGCAGCCAGTTCCATGGGGAACTTTGCCCACCATTCTGGTCATTGAGTTCCTTGCCATTGCCTTTGTAGAGCACCAGCGCAGCATGGAGAAAGACCCTGAGAAGAAGAAGTACCCTGGTGGTGCTTTCGACCCATTGGGCTACTCAAAGGACCCTGAAAAGTTGAAGGAATACAAAGTCAAAGAGATAAAAAATGGTATATTTAACTCTGCACAAATTCAATCTTATAAAGAAGATTTAGGCTAAAACACTCCCACTTAAGTTTATCATATCTAGAAGTGCTTTTAAATTTAAAAAGCACTTATTTTAGTCTTGGCTGCGGAGTTGATATGATTGTTTGGTGTGTAGGACGGCTAGCGCTGTTGGCTTTTGTTGGGTTCTGTGTGCAACAATCGGCATACCCAGGAACAGGGCCATTGGAGAACTTGGCAACTCACTTGGCTGACCCATGGCACAACAACATTGGCGACATTATCATCCCCAGAAATATTTCGCCTTGAATTTTGTACTAAATCATACCAATTTGTAATTAAATTTCTGTGTACTCAATCTAAATCTAAACTCAAGGGTTTCCCTCTCTATATGGCTTGGTATTTGCTGTGTAGCTTGATATTCACCTTCATTTTTGTGCTTGGAGTTCCATCGGAAGAGGAGGAAAAAAAAAAAAGAAGCATCATTTAGTTTAAAGTTCCATTATTTGTGTTAATCTATTTTGCTGCAGCCTGAAGAAAGTATAAGCAAGGATTTAACCATGTAATTTCTCGGACACGGTTATATTATTTTGCCTCGAATGAATGATTTCTAAAGCTGGACTTAAGATAGATTCAGCCTCCAAATTTTAGTATGTAACAATTTAGCCAAAGTATTTCGAATAAATAGATGTTTAGTCCTAACTCACGAGGTAGAACTAATCTTCAAGTATAATTTCAAGAAAAAAATCAAGTATATTGAGAAAGATATTGCTACTTCGAGATCATATTAATACCAATCTAGAGCACAAAAGAACATGGCTATTATTGACTACTTATTGATTGAAAATGACGATCTCCAGCCCTCTTCATCTTTCTATAATGGGATACTGGTGGGCTTTGGCCCAATCTAATTGCCCAAGTAAGTGGTACAAGTGAGCCCCAAAAGATCATTTCGGACCATTGGGCTAAAGGCCCATAAACCTGAACAAGAAGCCCAGATGAATGGGCCGCTTTAGACGATGAAAACTGGAACATAGGCCCAGATAAAGTGACCCAACAGGATCACAAACATAAGCAAACCAATTCATTTCCATTTTCTGATGACTCAGTTTATAAAGTCAGTGGAAGAAAAAAAAAAACAAAGAACGAACACCAGTTTTTGTATTATTTTTGTTTTTATATTTTTGAGAAAAAAAATTACAAGTACAACTGTTTAATTAAGTAATAAATTAAATTAACTTAAATTAAATCATCACCACAAAGTTGTGAGAGAGACGATTTTATATCATATCATATATATATATATATATATATATATATATATATATAAAAGTTAAAAGAGACAAAAACAAAAGAGAGAAAAAAAAGATGTTGTAAAAAGAGTGGCATCCAACGTTCAATTTTTTGAAAGAAAAATTTGACTCAAAAACAAAACTTGAGGGGAAAATGTATTATTATTATATTTTAATTTTGACATAAATATAATTACTGAACCATAAGAAGAAATAGCAATAATAAAAGTATTTTATATTACTACTATAAAAAGCATATTATAAAAGAAAAGAAAAAAATTGATTTATTATTGTTTGTGGAAGTAATTAAATAAAATAAGGCTGGAAGGAGGGTATGAAGGTGAGGGTAATAATGATGTCCAGGGTTGCATAAGGGGAAAGCTGGGGTTTCACGTTCTTTTATAAAATGTGAAAGAAAAAGAGAATAATAAGGTACACTTTGCTCTGCTCCACCTTTTCTGTTTCTTTGAATTTCTTTTTCTTTTTCTTTTTTTTCATTTTCTCCCCAAACTTCCCAGCTATTTATTTATAAAAGAAAAAAAAAAACTATAAGTTTGTTTCCTAAATTTTTAGAGTTTTAATAGGTCGCTTAAAAGCTTGTTTGATTGGCAATTTTGGATTATGTATTTTGTAGAAAATTCTTAAAACAACCTTTGTTTTTCAGATTTTGAATTTAAAATTTTAAAATGCAAAATTATATTAAATAAAAAGATAAAAACTTTTATAAATATATTATTTCAGATTATAAATTTATTTTATTTTTTTAACATGTAAACTTATAATATATTATAAATTTTTTAAAAATGAGATTTAATTTCCAAATTTGCTACCAAACACATACCTGAAAACACTAAAAACAAAGAACAAAACTTTGTTTTTCATTGAAATCACCAACCAAACGCATCCTAAGTTTTCTATTGTCTAATATGAAATTCATATTATATCGGTTCAACCAAACACATCATAAGTTTTTCATTGTCTAATAAGAAATTCATATCATATCTGGTTCGATCTCTCGAAACCCATTTGGGTTTTCATAGATAAACCTAGAATTTAAGCAAAACTATCTCGTATACGTACAACTTAGAAAATAGACCCGGTTCGATCTCTCGAAAACCCATTTGGTTTTGTTTGAAGAGGTAGGGTAAAAATGAATATTGGGAATGAGTATTTTTTTTTATTTTTTTTTTGGTATAATAATATAGGGTTTAGGGGAGTAAAATTTTGTTTGGGTTATAAAAATGTTGGTTGGCATGAAAAGGAGAGATGAGGGGATTATTTGGGAAGAGTGAAGAGAGAGTAAAAGAAAAGGAAGTAAGAAGAAAGAAGTAAGAAGTAAGAAGTAAGAAGAAGAGAGAGTGGGAGATGGAGTAGAATCTAACCGTGAGACACATTTTGGGTACAAACAACAAACAGAAGGGGGACAAAAAAAATGCATCAGTTTGGCACAAAACCAAGTAAAGGGGACTTTCAATATCATTCAATTTCTGACACCATGATTCCCCCACACTTGTCTTTCTTTTCTTTCCTGACCCTCATTTTCTTAATTAGCTCGGGTGTGGATTTGAATCTTTGATCGATCGAATGATTACTTTAATCATGTTAAAATTCAAGGACTAAAAACTATGCCATGGGAGTACGGTAGCTAAACACAAATAGATCTTGTTTTAATTAGAAGCCTTGTATATGGGTTGAGGAACGCACAATGTCCTTCTATTTGCATTGAATCATGTGTGTAGCTAAGCTTTTTTACGGATGATTTATTAGATAATCGAAAACAGAGAATCTTGAAAACAATTCAAAGTTCAGAAGAACTCTACGAGAGAGCAATAATTGAATAGCTGGAAAAGCTCAGTCCTACTTACAGAAAGTCGAAATAGAAGCAGATCGGTTTCGAGTGAATGGATACTCTGAGAAGAACGAGAAAAATTGCGGCCAGTAGTTGCTTTTCCTTCTGTTACTTCGAAAGTAGCTGTTTAGCTTCAGCTTCAGTTACTTGAATTTTCAATATTCTCATTTGACTCAATGAAAAGGAAAGTGTTAGAATCAAACTTAAGTTTAAGCTTTTGGATTAAGTAGTGGTTTATTAATTCTTAAGAGGAAGAAAGAGAGAAATAACTCAAAATTCTACTCTTGAGCTGATCTTACCGATTATAAAAATAACTAATTAAATAACTCAAAATTCTATTTATCTCACGTTTATACCTTAACCAGTTGAACTATGTAATCACAATCAAATATAATCCATCTGTCCATTCTTTTTGGTTTTGGTTTTTGTTTTTGCCATTTTTAATTACCATTCTTCTGAGGTCCCTTTTTGACCATTTTCCAATTTCCAAATGCTGCTGCCAACCCAAAAAGCATCATAACTATTTTCCCTTGCTACCAACCATTTTCTTAACTCTCTCTCTCTCTCTCTCTCTAAAAAAATAGTACAATTGGTGTATATGTTTCTCTGTTGAATTCCCATCTTCCCAAGTGGGCAAATGGCTGTTCTCTAACTGCAACATTTGAATATTCTTCTCTCTCTCTCTCTTTCCATCTTTTTTTAATGTTAAGATATGCATTTTCTTAGTCTTTGCACTTTTACTTTTCTAATGCCTTTCTTCTTTTAAATTATTTTAGTCCTTGTGTAATTCAAAATTTGAGAATTTTTAATGGATACCAACAACTTCTTTTTTATTTTTATTTATTTATTTTTGACTAGAATCGATGTCGTGTGTGTTACGCTATATGACCTAATTAATGATGGGTGATATCATAAGGTCCAAGGTCCTTGCTACTACGCCATCCACACAGGACAATATAGCAAAAGCTTTTGAATTAGGTAAATATATATGACAAAATGTTTGAAATTTTTATTTTTGATATTTTAGTTATTTTGATTTTACCATCCCGATGAGATATATCAAATCGGGCATATATAAGACATACCATTGATATATTAACATTCATATTAGGTATATCAAGTATATCCTTGACGTATCGAAACTCATAATTAAGTATATCAAACCATCGCTATGTGTTATTATTTGCGCTTCGTGTTCATCAAAGATATATTCGACTTTTGCTTTCTTCTATGTCAGATTTTACTATTTTGCAAAATTGAAAAGTAGATACTACTTTTACGAATTTCTATTAACTTTTTGCTACTTTAGCAAGCGCCCCTTAAAATTATAACAAATGAGTTTGTAGAGTAATAGGTATTGTTATAATCGGGACATATAAAAAAAGAGAAATAATTGAAAAACATGAAAATTTAACTAAAAGATTTATTCTTTATATATTTGTCAAAAAATAAAATTTAAAGGAGTACAAATGAAAGTACAAGGGCAAAAACAACATAAGAGTCAAACTACATGGATTAATGGGTGTATTTTAAATGTTTATAATTTCTTTCTATATTAGTTAATTTTCTAATTAAAGTCTAATAGTTTAATATTAGGGTTCATATTGTTCTCCATATCTCATAGGACCAGTTTGCTTGCATAGGGGTTTAGGGTTTGAATTTTAGAATGATTTGATAAAATTAAGGAAAAAAAGAAAGACAAACCAATCTGTCGTTTAGATAATTGGGTTGAAAAACCCTCAACAATCTATAATATCTAGAATATAGTTTTTTGTTTGCTCAATGAATAAAAACAAAAACCTAATTAGAAAAAATGATATTTATTTAATTTTGTTTTCTCATACAATTTTTTGAAGTAATTATTTTCACACGTATTAATTATGAACCTACTTTAATGCTCATTGGACTATAATCTAAGTATGACATGATTTTCTTGTAATAGAATTGAAGACTAATAAAAGAAATTCTAAACCAAGTTGTTAAAAATTTTAAAATACAATATACAAAAATTAGTTTCCTCTTTTATAGTATTTTCTGTAGAATAATACTATTTTTTCCTAGGATAAAACTGATGTATTTAGTAATCGGTAGGTCTCCCTATTTGCCACAATTACAAAATTAACAAACTAAAAAGATATGGATATGAATGCATAAAAAAATAGGGAGGAAATAGAATAAATAGCTATAAATTTTTTTTTTTTATAATGGTGGTATAATTAGGAAGGTACCTACTTACAGTAAGTATTTAAGTTTTTTTTTTTATCTTTCTTTATTTCTAATTGTCAAATTCTTAATAGTGATAAGTAGGACGATACATATTTACTCGTAAGCACCATAAATATTACTCTTTTATGTATTAGATTGCTAATTAATAGTTTAATGATTAATATTCTATATGCCAAAGTGAGCATAGCTCAGCGATATACCTCAAACCAAGAGATTATGAGTTTGAATCCCCTCCCCAACTGCCTGTTATTCTAAAAAAAATATCAATATTCTATACAGAACATATATACATGCACACATACGATTTATAAATAAATATAAAATAAATGAAAGTCAAAAAGAAAAAAAAGACCATGAGAGGGGATTGAGAGATATATTGGACAAATTAGATGAACATGAGGATAAAGGAATTTAAAGTAAATAATGACAGTAGGACCAATATTTTCCCCTCCTTTTTCTTTTAGTCAAATGGCCTTTTTGGCCTAAAAGAACTCAAAAGGCATGAAGTGGCCATTTGCAAACCCAAATAAAGGGATAAAGCATAAGTGAATTAGGTGAAGTGGGGTTGGATTAGTTTATCTTAATTAACACTAAAGCAACTAGCTTTTTAATGTCTACAACCTGTTTTTTTTCCAATCATCCAAAGAAAAAAAGCAATTAACCAGAGAAATATTAGCCCAAAGTAATCGCATTAGCAATATACTTGATCTCTTTTTCAAACCGTCCCAATTAATACCGTAATGTTAGATATCTTACAAGATCATACATGTGTAATAATCACGAATCGAAATCAGATCCATTAACTATTCGAAATACATCCCTTGAATCCTCCCTCGAATCTCCAACAAAGCAAATTTGTTAGTACACACAAAATTTTCCATACCCCTCCCATTAATCATGAGGAGGAGCAAAAATACCCGCAGTATTAGAAATATTTTTCCATTGTTGGAGACCGGGATTATGCTCGAGATACATATCGATCCTGAGACGAGAATGTGCATACATACAAAATAATAAACATTAATTTAACAATATTATGTTTATTTTCTTGTTTGCTTTTCTTTTTTTAAAAAAAGAAAAGTGGGAAAAGAAATATAATGGTATTATTATATAAAAAGATATAAAAAGGAAATAAAAAAGAGAGGAGATGGGAGAGATGGGGGGATGAGGAATCCATGTGTTTCCAAACACTCCAGACAAAATGAGTTTCAGAATAGAGAAAAGTGAGGTTTGCTTTATGACCCAGAAAAGGAGATTTCAAACACCATAAACCCCTAACTTGGGGAATTGCAGTGCCCTCTGCTTACCCCTCTAATTAAACACACCATTTTTTTTCCTTTTTTTTCTTTATATGAAGACTAAGAGGGAAACCCCTCTGCAATTCCCCATCCCCCCATGGCTTTTAAAAAATATATATATATATATATAATTATG